ATATATATATATATATATATATATATATATATATATATATATATATATATATATATATATATATATATATATATATATATATATATATATATATATATATATATATAAATACACTTTTATTGTATTAGCAGTATTTCAATTCGAATCTTTATTCATCGCGGTACATTTTTATTTGTATGCACTCGCGGAAAAACACGGGCAGACAGATGGATTCGATAGCGTGTGCGTTGTATTCCTTCAGTATTGTCTCGTGAGGACACAACCTACCTAATCGTGAGCAGTAGAGCCCCAACTGCTGTGACTAGAGCAGGTATCTCGAAGATCTTCATTGTTAATATCAACAATACTCTGATAATAAGAGTGTAAGTGTATATGGACTGCGTGAGAATAGGGATTATGTAATACTAATATGCTTCGGCGAACAGCTCGTGAAACAGGAAGCATGCCACTATGCGACGTTTTCATCTACAAATATATTGACAAAAACTATTTTGGGTGATAACCAGTATTTTTCTATTTATCCCGGGTATGTATCTATTTATTTCAAAACATATTTATCACAAATCTGAACTCGAGCACTCTTTTTTTTGTTATTTTTTTAGGAGGCTATTTACATACATAGCCTTCTAAATTGAAACATAGACAAATATTGTAGATTCCAGGTAAAATGACCAGATATCCATGCTTAGCACGTGCGGGTTGCGCGATTCTCCCGCCTCTCTCAATTTAAACAAATTTTGCTGGTTAATAATTTTCAGAAATAAAAATATATTTATATCTCGTACTCGTATTGGTCCAAGGCATTGAATTCAGTCTGACTTTCTTTTTATATTTTTTTTATATTTTTGATTTCAACAATTCTCCACCAACGGGAGATCAGAAAATAGACGCCGTCGATAGGACAAATGCGCGAAACTGCAATTTTTTTTTTGACCTGCTTCCGCGAAATTGTCCTGTTCATTTTGCCATTTTCAATATGTTTCATTTCGTTTCATATTTATTTATTTCACGTGAACAATATATATTTTTAATAAAAATTGAACTATTATTTATTATTATAGATATCAACATAATTATTTAAATAAACCCAGTTTTATAGTTCTTCTGTGCATATCCTTGTGATGGCCGTGGGAGAGAAGGTAGCGTGGCTTATTGTAAGCGCGTGGTAATACTACCATCTTTCGCTTGCTGATATAAATAAACTGTTTAATACAAGCGAAAGTACCATAGGGCGTATATTGTCCTGTTGGAAATCCACAGGTTTCCCGACCCAATCAGGCGCAGTAGAAAGCGCCGAGAGGATCTCTTGAGGGATGAGAGGTTAATCAGATGAATTAGGCGTATATGTGAGCGTAATCCATCAAAATACTTTGAAGAGCTTCAAAAGTGTGTTGTAGAGGAAGATGGTAGGAAAGTATCATATACGACAATACTGCGTGTACTGAAATTAGACCTTAAATTTACACTTCGTATCATGGAGAAAGCCGCTAGATATGCATATTTTAAAGCACAACTAGTATCTTTTTCAGTTTTGAGCCTGATATATTCATGTAATAATCAACTCGTTATTGTAGACGAAGCATCTCGTGATGCTAGGTCTACTTTCAGAAAGAGAGGGTACGGCCCTAAAGGTGAAAAATTAATCTCTAGAACTCACTTTGAGAGAGGACTCAGAGTTAGTGTATTAGCCGCAAGCGATATTTCAGGTTTCATAGGTTTGTACTAACTGGGCCTCTACATTAGACTCTATGTTATAAACGTACTCTCAAGTAGTACGTAAACTATAAACATATTCTTAATAGTACTGTAATAGCCGGTCCTCCATATTAGACTCTATGTTCTAAACGTACTCTTAAGCAGTACGTATACTAAATACGTACTCTTAATAGTACAAGGAACTTAAGTTTCCTAAATGGTTTTTAATGGTATATTAATTAGTACCTTTTCCATTCTACATATCTGAAAATTGGACAAGGCCATTAAAAGGCCCAGTAAAGTACCAAACATAAAGAGTTGGTCTAGTTCTATTAATATAACTTTATTTACTTTTCAATTTTATTTATATCTGAATACTTCGGTAGCGAGATGGCTTAACCGAATATAGATTTTTAGGGACTATTAAAGTTACCTAGTTGATACTCCGATCAGCTAACCAGATGTTCCAGTCTGATGAAGGCTAAGTCGGTAATTCTTGATAAGTGGCAAGTTATTGGTTAATGCACTAACTATGGACATCAAGAGTTTTCCTTTTTTTTCTTCTTTTTTTCTAATGATAGAACTTTATGAGTCTCTCGGATTTACCCCAACGAAACATATCATAGTTTCTAATAGAGCGACAACGAAACACTAATTAAAATCCCTACGGCGAAAACAGTACTGAGAGGATTATATATAGGAATAATATTTTATATTTCAAAAATGGCAAGGATGTATGATACAATGTATGAACATATGGTATGGCTCTCATAGTCGCTGTAGTGGTTCAGGAAAGATTGATGGGAAGAAGTGGTTAGTAAATTCCCGTTTGAAGCTTGGGCCAAGTGAGTCGACAATGGAAGATAAGTGCTGAGTCAATTCGGGCCGGTGTTGACAAAACACTGTTACTGTCGAATGTTCCATATATTCGCTTGCTGATCTACTAAGTAGAGTACCCACCTCTGTGGTACGGATCGGGTCTGCGGCGTGTAGTGCCGCGGAATGGGTTAGTGCAGAATACGAAATACCGAGAAGGACCAGGATATCCGTCATAATCCGGTCGAGAAGCGAGGATAGGGGTAAGCCATAACCGCACCCGACCACGGATGATTTCGGTATGTGTTGGCTGGCCTGGATCGGAAGTATCATAGTCGGCAATGTCTCAGTCTCACAATCCCTTAGAGTATTGTTGTTTTCACGAGGCATACCTAACTTTACTAAATGTCTCATTTCGTTTAATTACGTTGATATTTACACGATACTTAGAATTTACCTACGCGTTTATTTATTCTAAGGCATTAGTATCGCCGTAAGAGACCGAATCTTACACATTTTAAAGTTAGCAAAGGTATTAACTACTTAGTCTAATTAAATGTAAAGGTAGAAAACTACCACAAACCTTTTTCTTGTCCAATCTAGTCCCTAAGAGACCAGCAGCAGTCATAAGTTAAGATTATGACCAAGAAAGACAATACTCCTTCTAAGAAGCGTAGAGCTGAAAAGAAGAGGATGGAGAGAGACGCCGCTACTGCAGCCGCATTTAACGCGACCGCAGAAGAGAACAATCATTCCGTAACCGAAATCATTGCTACTGGTATTAGCAACCAGAACAATTCAACAGTGAAGGGTGAAGACACTCCATTAAGAGAGAAGTCCCCTGAAGTAAAAGCCCGCGGGCCAACTATTGCGGCTGCTTCGAAGTGTACGTTCACGAAGCCAAGAAGCCACGCGAAAGGATCGGTTAAGACAATCCCTACTGAACCTGATGGGAACACTCAGAAGGATCTAACTTCAATTACGGAGAAAGGAGACAACCCGCTTAAGGGAGAAGATGAAAAGGAAAGATCAGAAAGCCAACCCTGAAAGATTCGGTCTAATAAAGGCGATACTAATGCCTTAGAATAAATAAACGCGTAGGTAAATTCTATATATCGTGTAAATATCGATATAAATAAACGAAATGAGACGTTTAATAAAGTTAGATTTGCCTCGTGAAAACAGCAATACTCTGAGGGATTGAGAGGCTGAGACATTGCCTATATATATTCCTCTCAGTACTGTTTCCGCCGAAGGGATTTTATTTAGTGTTTCGTTGTCGCTCTATTCTGGGGCGAATCCGATAGACTCATAAAATTATATCTTTAGAAAAAATAAAATAAAATAAAAAACTCTTGACGTCTTTAGTTATTGTCTTAACCAATAACTTGCCACTATCAAGAATTACCGACTTAGCCTTCATCAGACTGGCACATCTGGTTGGCTTATCAGAGGATCAACTAGGTAACGTTAATAGTCCTTAGAAACCTATATTCGGTTGAGTCATCTCGCTACCGAAGTATTCAGATATAAATAAAATTGTAAAGTAAATAAAGCTCTATTAATAGAACTAGACCAACTCTTTTATGTTTGGTATTTTACTGAGGCCTTTTAATGGCCTCATCCAAATATCTGATATGTTAAATGGAAAAGGTTTAATTAATATATCAGATATTTGGACGAGGCCATTAAAAGGCCTCAGTCTAGTTCTATTATTAGAACTTTATTTACTTTCCAACTTTATTTATATCTGAATACTTCGGTAGCGAGATGGCTCAACCGAATATAGGTTTCTAGGGACTATTAACGTTACCTAGTTGATCCTCCGATCAGCCAACCAGATGTGCCAGTCTGATGAAGGCGAAGTCGGTAATTCTTGATAGTGGCAATTTATTGGTTAAGACAATAACTAAGGACATCAAGAGTATTTTTTTCTTTTTTTCTTTTTTCTAAAGATAGGATTTTATGAGTCTCTCGGATTCGCCCCAACGAAACATACCATAGTTTCTAATAGAGCGACAACGAAATACTAAATAAAATCCCTTCGGCGGAAACAGTACTGAGAGGAATATATATAGGCAATGTCTCAGCCTCACAATCCCTCAGAGTATTGCTGTTTTTACGAGGCCTACCCAACTTTACTAAAAGTCCCATTTCGTTTATTTACTTTGATATTTACACGATACTACTTTATTCTAAGGCATTTGTATCGCCTTTTTTAGACCAAATCTTACACATTTTAAAGTTAGCAAAGGTATTAACTACTTAGACTACTTAAACGTAAAGGTAGATTCACTACCACAACATTTTTCTTCTCTTGTTCAAGCTAGTCGTTAAGAGACAAGCTAGTAGTCATAAGTTAAGATTATGACCAAGAAAGACAACACTCCTTCTGAGAAGCGTAGAGCTGAAAAGAAGAAGATGGAGAGAGAAGCCGCTAGGGCTGCCGCAGAAGCAACCGCCGCTGCTGCTGATGCGTTTAACCGCACTGTAGCCGAAGTACTTGCCTCTGACAACAATAGCCAAAAGGACGATGCTTCAGATAAGGATGCAGCCACTCCACTTAAGGAGACTACTCCCACTGACAGAGCCCGAGGGCCAACTATTGCCTCAACTTCAAAGCTTGCATTTACGAAAGCAAGAAGTGAGACAAGGGACACGTCTCAAGACGCCCCAACCAATTCTTTTGACGAAACTCAGAAAGAAAAGTTCCCAATTATAAGGGAGCCCCCAATTATAGGAGACAAGGACAAATCTCAGAAGGAACCTATAACGGAACCAGAAGAGGAGGCAAGCTCAAGTAGCAACCCCGAATCTACGTCCGAGATTACTAAGCCAGCGCGCATAAGTAAGTTAAATACTGAAAACACTGATCTTAAGAATCAGTTAGCCATCCTTATGAAAGACTTGACTGTTGAACATGTAGATTGATTGTGTAGATCAGGAAAACATACACAGCACTTACGCGATCATGTTTCTCCTGGCATTACTAAATCCCTACAGAAGTGGAAAAAACGTCG